CCATAGAGATAAATAATCAAACATATAAATATATATTAATCACAAATAAGAAACCTCTTACTTGAATGGAGTGACTTTGATCATATAATTGACTAGAGAAAACCTTTCATCAAACCTTTTTTCTTGTAATCCCACAAGAAATATCACCATCTTCGTTTCCATCTCCATACCACGATCTTCACCCTCGAACTTGTTCAATCACTGGAAATTCGTCATCATACCCTTCACATTTGCCATCTTTGTAGAGATTATACTTTTGGATTGTTGGGGATTTTGTTTTTAACAAGGGTCACAAAGAAAGCAAATGAAATAAACTGGTAAAATCTTCGAGGCGTGAACGGAATCACTTTTCCAAAAGTATAATTCCGACCCTATACTACAACCGAGTTTCACGGAAATTTACTTAGGAGATACAACGAAGAACAGTTGCAATTACAAGTAGGATGATTACAATTCAATGTAGATAAGTGTATGTGATTTGTGATGATGTTAATTAAACTTTACAATATATTTTCAAGAAGAAAAAAGGAATCTCACCTTTTCTCCTCTCAAAATTCTCTTATATCTAACATATGTTCCAAAAGAACATATTTATACTCAAGGCAAATAACAAAGAAAAACCCCTCAATTATTCTCTCGAAAGAAACTGAGTTAACCGTCAATTTCAAACACCCAAGACCGCGCCCGATCGGTCCGGCCACCGCTCGACCGGGCGATTATAGACGTCGATCTCTGCAACTTCTCGCGCCTGATCGGGCGGTGGTAGCCCGATCGAGCGAAAACCCAGCAGAATTTGTATCTCGTTCTCGCGCCCGGTAGGGCGGCGGCTGCCCGACTGGGCGGTGGAGCAAGATACCAGAAGCAGCCTCGCGCCCGATCAGGCGGCTACCTACTAGACCGGGCAGCTGAGAGGGTGGCAGAACTCCAGCCCTTTTGCTTCCTATTAATTGAGCCTTCTCCTTTTAAACCAAGGTTCTTCATTCAACCTTTTTACCAAGGTTAATTAATCTTGTTATTTGCTTTAATAATCTTGTTTAATTAATCCACAACACCATATCCTACGTAAATTAATTAATTACATGAATTTTGTCTCCAATTCTCAAAATAATTCAACAGTAATACACTTTAAAATGGGGTGAATGGTAGTTAGAAGTGTAATTTAGTAGGTCATGTGCTTTAAATAAGGGAAATAGTATAGTTTTTCCCTAACATAACTTTCTATTTATGGTGTGTAGCAACTAGAAAGTATTGTGACATTTCCATTTTAGGGAAGTGTTTCAAGTATTAAAAAACGAAGGAAGTACTTTCTTTACCCCACATGTATAATATTCCCTTTTTTAATTAAATTTGTATATCTAATGATTGAATTTATGTAAATATATCTCAATTTTACATAATTATTAATCGTGCATAATTCCATACGTCAAAAACAAAAAGAAATGGAGGGAGTAGTATAAAAAAATAACTTTCTCTAATTGATAAACACACCATCAATTGTTTATCATATGACATTTCGTAAATAAATCAACAAATTTTTCATTAATGTGGCTTTTACAAAGATGGTAATTGTATAAAATTATTAATTTATTTACAAAAATAAAGTGGGGAAAACTCAATAAAAGCTTATGGACATGACAAGCTAATTTGACAGTTAGCTTATCATTGGAGTTGCTCATCTTCCTACTACTCCGTATTATAGGGTTTTATTTTAGCAAGTTTTTTTTCCAAACAAATTTACTTTACGCCAAACTAATTGTATTTTTTTAACTTTGCTTCATAAAAAAAAATTGTATTTTTTAACTCTAATAATTGAACTAATAGATAGGGATTATTTAATATTGCAAGAAAACTCCTAAGTACAATTGCTCTTTCTGTAAAAAAAAAAAAAAAGGGAAATTCTCTTTGGTAACACCATACTTTTTACTTTTCTCAGTGGTGAATTACAAAAAAATTTATTATCTTTGGTAAACCTAAGTTTTGATTACCAAAGATAATACTTATTTTAATTTAAACACATTAACCATAGTTAGTTTTTATATTTTTGTAAATAATTAAATTATTTTTATTTTAAAAAAAAACCCAACCCCACCCACTGGTGCCCCAGCCAACCCCAGCCCCCTCCCCTCCGCCAGCGCCACCGCACTTCATTGCCGACTCCACCCACCGTTGCCAGCACCCAAACCCCTTAACGCCGGCGACCATCCCTCATCTCTGAAAATCGCCAGCCGCTCATCCCCCCACCCCCGAAAACCACTAGTCGCTCACTCTCCACCCTCGAAAACCACCAACCTTTCATCCCTCACCTCTGAAAACCGCCAGCCGCTCATCCCCCACTCCTGAAATTCGCCAGCCTTTCATTCCTTATCCCTGAAATCCGCAACCACACCTGGAACCCTTCTCCTATTGGACTCCCCTTCCCTGATTTCCCAATTCCCTCTCCTTCACCAAATCGGACCCAAACCCACGACCCAAACCACCATCGAAAATCACCGGCGAAAATCAGGACAAAATCATCGGTTTTTGTGGCGAAATTCAACGACGCTGCTTCGAGACAAAGGTCGTGGTTTTTGAAACCAATCGGTTTCGAAGGTGGGAAAAGCCCGATTAACGTTTTTGATGGTGGGGTATTAGTCGGATGGGGGATTTTGAGGGTGGTTTCTAGGGTTTTCGGGGAAAAGGGAGGTGGGTTTCAGGGATAGGGGATAGGCGTGGCGGGCTGGGGAGGCCGAGGCGCCGGTCAGGGAGGTGGTTGGGGCATGAGGTAGGTTGTCGGCGCCAGCGCCGGCGTGGTGAATGTTGTTCGGGGAAGGGGGTGGGGTTTTTTTCTTTATAATTTTTAAATTTAAGTTAATTATTAAAAAAATAATAAAACTAACCATGGTTTATGATTTTAACTAAAAAGATGTTAATCATGATTTAATATTAACTAAATTACTTCATTAAATTCACCATTGAAAATTATAATAAATTAAAGTTTATCAATGATAATAAGAATTTTTGCAATTTACCACTGAGAAAATTAAAAAGTTTAGTGTTATCATTGAAAATTTCCCAAAAAGTACAATTACTCCTACTCCTTTTCAAACAATATGTTAAGCGGCAACCGAATGCTGTGCACAGTGACATGAGTACAAGTGTACAAAATGAATCCACCGACTGCAAAATCGTGCAATATTATGAAATCAGCGATTTCATTTGCTTACATTTCTTCTCTGTTAATCTCTCCGCTTGCTGAAATACTTGTAAATCCCTCTTCCTATGTTTTTTTCGATTTACAGTTTTTAAATTATTTTTTGGATAATTACTGGGAGTTTGTTGATATTTATGTTTGTTGTTTTGGAAGGTGCTATGGCTGGAGCAAATGATGTCAATGCTGAAGAAATCAAACTTCAAGTATTTTCATCCACTAATGAGGTTTTTTTTTTCTTTGTATCTTGGATGAATTATTGGAATAATCTCTCTGTTTTATTAGAATCTACCCGTAGATGATTAAAGGGTTGCATATTTTCTCTACAATATAATATGAGTCTATGACTAATTAATACTGGTTCCATTCCTTTTTGTTTGCTAAGCATATTTTCTCTAGAATATACCATGATTTATTAATACTCGTTCCGTTCCTTAATGTTAGCTACATTTGGGCAAAAAAAAAAAAGAATGGAATGAGTAATGTTTTGCATACCCACTTTCACCAATGTTATGTTTTTTACATAATTCTTATACTTGTAAAAGTGTATCATTGTAATGTTTTCGACTATCAAATTTTTATAATGTATATTTATTGATAGTTAAAGATATTATTGATAATTTTTCCACGTTGCATATATGCAAATCAATGTGGGAACTTATTTTGAATTAACGGTGTACATCAAACACATGGAATATTTCAGTACGTACATTACACTACGTGCCCTTACCTCACAAAACAACCCCATTTTTTTTTTTCCAAACACAAGGTTATTAAGTTATCACATATGGTGTTGTTTGGTTTAGATTCGTATCCATGAGAAGTTTGATATCTTAGAAATTAGAAAGTAATAATTCTAATAACTAAAGAGTAGTTTGTTTGGTTGAAATTGAGATGAGTGTAGGAAGTGAAAACATCCTAGAGTCTTATTTCCCACACAATGGGGCAAGTTGTTTACTAGCCTCCCCTAGGTATGTAGAACATCTCACCGACATTTCAACTTCTTATGCTTAACCAAACAATGTTACTCAATTCAAAGGAAGTGAAAAGATATAGGACCTTGGCATTATGATATGAGTCCTACGAGGCTACGACTACATATAATTTTTAAATGATCTTGATACGACCCCTCCATGGTCAAGATTTCATATATTAATGAACAAAATACTCTATTTTTTTCTTCAAAGACATCTTTCTTATTACTACTCGTAGTAATTATAATTTTGGAAGAGTATTAAAAGCAAAACTACCGGTTGAACCTCAGAACAAGGACCACCTTTTCCTTTACATACTTTGTGATTAGTTAAAAGTTAATGCTAATGCAACTTTAAGTTTGTATTGCACAGAGTAGCTGGTAATTTCATTTCACAATTGTTAAAACTTATTTTTTTAAGGTGAACGGAACATTCTATAACACTGCCCGTGTTAAATTAAAGTAATTAAAATTTTACTTAAAAAATGATCTAGCAATTATTGCAGCAATATGAACGAGATATATATCATGCATTAGGGAGGCAATATTCCCATCACCGTTCCAACAATCCGACCTATCATACTAAAAGTACTGAGTACAAGATAGAGTAACAGAACTACAGAAGCTTCATCTAATACCTTCATGTACTATTATGCACAAAAATTCTGAAATGATTACATCTAATAGGTTGCTTCCAATTTTGACAGATATCAGTCAGTCATACATATAGAGTACAAAGTACTTAAAATGAACATCTTTATAAGTTCATAATGATAGGAATACATTCCAATCTTATGTTTATTAATCAGTAAATAGTAGTTTTTCTTACAGACCAGAATAATGTAGTAATGGAACAAATCCCCTAATTTTTTTTTGCTAGTTTAAAAAGCAGTGAATGACTCCTAAAGTCCTAATGCAATCTTGAACAATAAAGCTAAGTTAATGCAGCAGTAGTACAACTGCTGAACAATACAAACCCCTAATATCCATCGTTGCTAATAGTCCCCTTAAAAACATAGAGATAATCTCCATTTTCAACACTGTGCCAACGAAGACTACAATTATCGCGCATAATCCTCTGTTTATGGATGAAAATGTAATCATCCATAGGCAGAATCCTTCTACTTAACAGCAATTGCCTCACCTCATTAACAGTGCTTGTTTCCTTCATCTCTAAGGGTATGCTTGCTGCGTTTAGCAAACTTTTTGAGGTCTGTACCACCACGCTTAGCTTCCTGCAGAGAGGTTCGGCCTTAATCCTGTTCATGCTCTTAAGAAAAACTGTGATTTCTGAATATTCAGTAACCCCATACTCACTCAGATATCGAAATTCTTCTTCCATTTCTACCCCTGAAGTGTATAGTAACATCCTCTTTATCGGGGTACCATCAATAATGTGAATTTTCTCCTTCAGGCTTCTGACTGTTTCTGTTATGTTGTCTACCTCTATGCTTACTTGCCTTGAGGAAAATTTTATTGTGACTGGGATCTTGTTATGGCAGCTAGTGTGCTGACTGTGCTCCAAGTAGTAGTCCATAGGAGGTAATTCGTCGTGAGTAGTGTTGACAATGAGGTCGATTTTTGTGCCCTCGTGAATGATGGGGTAGTCATCCATGTCAAGCCCATCTATTAGTTCAAAGCCTAACACGGAAAGTGTTTGTATGGATACAGGGATGCCTAGGATTTTCGATATTTTGTGTTTGATCTCAAGTACAGGCTCTTGGTGGCTTATTTCTATGGGGAAATTGCTGGTGCTGGTGACTATGGTAACATGCATTGTATGGGTTGAGAGAATGAGAGAATTTGGAGTGATTATGCTTTAATGTTGGTAGAAGATTATATTTGAGATTCGGTATTAAAAGAAGGTTTTATCATGTTCTTATAATGAATAAGACACTATGGTTTCTGTTCTGTCATTCTGATATCATGTCTTCATGTTTTATAACATGTTCTATATCATGCAAATATGCTTCTTTTGAATGGAAATTGTTGGTCTATGTCAGTTAGCATGCATAAGTCATCTATTGAACTAGAGACTTCAATTTTCCTTTTTTTTGGGGGTTATTAAATGATTAAGTGTAAATTGTAAAATCAGTTCAGTAAAATCATGTTACTTAAGTTGTAAGTTGGAATCTTCTGTCCTAGTATAATTGAGACAATGACTGTTATAAGCTGCAATTTTTGGACCATTTAATTTCTGTTCTATTTGTTAGGGCGGAGGGAAGTAATGCAGCACTTTCTATGTTATGCCTATTAAGGTCCATAGGTGTCTTTTTCTATGCTCTTTATATGTCAAACTGATGAAAGCATGTGAAATGATTAAAAACTTGATTCCTGGTAGTCGTCTTGAAGCTATTAAAGTATGAATTAGTAATAGAAATATGACCATATGCAATTCCAAAAGCCACCTGAGTTTTCTTGAAGAAAGTTTTGGGTGAGATTGTCTCTTAATAATCATTCTCAAAAATAACCAAATCGCCGGTCATATCATTAGTCATGAAATGTCTCATATGAGACTTTGCCGTTTGAGCTTATATGTTTTTGTTTTAAGACTAATTGTTTTATTATTTATTTTTTTATTTTTTTGCCTTTTCTCTTATTTTGAGTTACATGTTTCCGTTCCTAACTGCTTTCATTCTGATTAGTTAATTGAAATTCTGAACAAGAAGTGCAATAAAGCTACGGATCAACCCTATCCTGCGATGTATTCCAGCATCTTTGGTGGTATTGTTCTTGATCCTATAATGATGATGATACCTATAGATGATCATATGGTGCATCGAGGGCATGGTGTATTTGATACAGCCATAATTTTTGATGGGTAAGCCACTCAATTGCCATTAGCTTATTTCAGTTTGCTCTTTCAACTAGAACATGAGAAATTGATTGTTAGGCTGTACATCTTTGAAATGTTGAGCTGATTTATAATTTTTAGCAATTCTCAATTGTCTATGTAGAGTGTGTAATCAAAGATAAAAGTATAATGATCCGACGTAATTCAACTACCTACATTTGATCCTGTGACAAAATGACGGTATTGGAGTTCCTTCTTTACATAGTTACTCTCCTAGCATATCATTTGTCATGGATTATATTTGGTGAGGCTCTTTTTACTTTACAGCTTCCTTTATGGCCTGGATGCACATCTTGACCGGTTTCTCAGGTCAGCTTCAGTAGCGAAAATAACTCCTCCTTTTCCTCTGCCTACTCTTCGGAGCATTCTCATCCAACTGACTGCAAAATCAAAGTGCAAGAACGGAACCCTTCGCTACTGGCTTAGTGCAGGTCCTGGGAATTTCTCACTTTCATCTTCAGGTTGTCCTACAACAGCTTTCTATGCAGTAGTTATCAAACATGATTTCTCACAGTGGAAAGAAGGTGTTAAAGTCATAACATCCTCTATTCCCATGAAAACACCGTTATTTGCCACAACAAAGAGTGTTAACTACCTTCCTAATGTCCTTGCTCAATTGGAAGCAGAAGAGAAGGGGGCATTCGCCTCCATTTGGGTTGATGACGAGGGTTATATTGCAGAAGGTCCAAATATGAATGTTGCTTTTGTGAACAATGAAAGAGAGTTGGTTATCCCAAAATTTGATAAGATCCTTGCTGGTTGTACCGAGAACAGGCTTCTAGAACTTGCACCCAAGTTGAGCAGGGGCGTCTGAAGGCTGTCAGAACAGCTGACACTTCAATTGAGGAAGCAAAAGCAGCTGCTGAAATGATGTTTGTGGGAAGCTCCCTGCCAATTGCACCCATAATTATGTGGGATGGAAAACCCATAGGAAACGGTACGTATTGTTATCTGATCTCTCATCTTTATAGTAGTGTTAGTAGAAATAAGCTGCTTGTGAGTGCTGGCTACTGCACAAATATTTAAAATTAGTTAAGAGAGTTGTAGAGTATTGGGAAAAAGTAGCAGATTTTACGTAGTTTTATTTCACTGAAATGGAATGAAATGGCCTCAATAATGAGCTAAAATAATAAGCTTTGTGTAAATTGGTACCACGCGGTCCATGTCTATGAAGTAAAGTCATGGTATAAGTTTCGTATTTTGCATGAATACAATATAAATTAAGATGACTCCACACACATAATATGAAAGTTTTGGTTGGTCTTTGCTCTTTGATAAACTGCTGTTTTAAGCCTATATCTTTATATGCTACATCTCTTGGCAGGAAAGGTGGGAGAACTGACTCTAGCACTCTCTGATCTTCTCTGGAATGACATGGGAGCAGGACCGGAAACACATAGGATCCGCATAATTTACGAATAGGATCTGTGTTATGTGTTATCTACGAACCTTACTGATCGAATCATTGCCATCTTGCTTACTAAAGGTTATAAAAGTCCTTGTTCCACTGTTTTTTTTTTTTCATAACACTTGGTCACTTTTGTTACACTTGTTACTAAAAATTAGTATATCAATGTTAGCTTAGTTGGCCTTAATGGTCAAGTCTTGAGATCGTTGTATGAGAATTGTTGTCATGAGTAACGAGTTGGGATTGACCCAGCCTTATATATTCTTACATAAATGACATGAGGTGGGCTGTGGGGGTAAGTCTTTGGCCTCATACGTGACATATGGTTAATCTTTAGGCAATGTGAGACAAGCTAAGCTACGTTCATAGTGAATCCAAATTTGCATTTTTGCCCTTGTCTCACCCCTCTCTCTCCCTCAATCTCACCTAGAACTCAGCTTCAGTTAACTAGATATTGTCAACTACACAAGCACACCACTGGCAACCCGGAATAAGCCACATTAGATAAAAGGAGGGTCTTACACGTTCATTGGTTTTATTTGTGATGTTATAAACGTTGCTTTGCACTAGAGGTTTATTTGTTTGGTGAAAGTGTGGCCCTTGTCATTGTGAGAGAACATTCTAGGGAAGATAGAGAAAGTAGTAATGGGCAACCAGGGTCGTTTCTGAGTTTTTAGGAGCTTAAGGACAAACTAATAATTAGGGGACCCTATAAATTTGGGTGTTTGCGCGATATACGTAATGTGCGAATACGCTACAATCTAAATAAAGAAGTCATGCGGATGGGACTTGGAAGTATAAATGAAACAATGGGACTTGGAAGTATAAATGAAACAATGGGACTTGGAAGTATAAATGAAACAAAAACATAAATGTTAGGTCTCGAACCCCAGAAGACAAGGCTAATTAATTCCACTATAAATCTTGCTTTGACCACTAAGCTAGTTTGTTCATTTGTCTAACATTGAAGGAGATTAATTCTTATAACTTAAATATTTTTCCTTGAAATAGCGAATTTGATTTGGGGGCCCTGAGCGACCGCCCGGCTGCCCTGGCCCAGCGACGGCATTGCGGGCAACAATTGCCTGTACTCCATAGATGGCAGCAACTCAAAAAGAGATTGAGGGGGTAAGCAAGGGAGAAAAGGTGGTAGTTCCAAATTGCTTAGGATGATCACTTTTGCAATTTTAAGTGCTTGTTTGGTTCACATCATCACATGTGGTGTTAACTTTTCATGAGAAGTTTCATTTCACGTAAGTTACTTGATAATTTTTTTTATGAAATACCTGTATAGTATTTGATTGACACTTGCGCACTTTTAGCTCATGGAAATTGACATGAGAATTGTGATTTACTAAGGGTAGGGTAAGTAAGTCATTTTACATGTTGGAATTCCAACTTTTAAATTAAGAAAGTTTCACTTTTCTAATTTTAACCATTTCATGTTAAACAAAATAGCTTGTCTTATACTCCTCTGTCCCTAATTGTTTGCTCCACTTTCCTTTATAAGGTGTCCCCAAAAGATTGTCCCATACTACTTTTGACATGTTTTCCCACTTGCACTCTCTCTATCTCTCTCCTCATTGATAATTGTGTCAACCCATGTGCACCATTTTTTGCCCAAAGCCTTAACAAAGTGGATTTATGGTTTGGAGCAAACAATTGGGGACAGAGGGAGTATATATAAGTGATGTTAGTGGTTGTTTAATGGTGAGATTAGATTAATTTCTCTTGTCATATAAGATTTTGTTGATTGTTTAAATGGTAGGACAAAATTAAATAAAAGAAGAACCAAAAACAAAAAAACACACACACACCAAAAGCAAATGGGATAAAAAAAAAATTTCACCACAAATGTGACAAGAAAAATGTCAATATTTGCTTTTAGTATAAGTTTATAGATTTATTTCTAACTGTCCAACCAAGCAAGCACCAAATTGGATAAGGATGAACCCTTTTGTCATTCCAAATTTGCATAGTAAAGGTATTTTTGTTAGACAATAGTTATCACGCTTTTGTGAACAAAAAGTCTGGGTAATAATTTATTGTCTTATTGAGATAAGAAGTATTTAACCAAATGAAATAAGACATATTCTTCAAAATATTCTGCCCAATAGAGAGGGTAATAGTGTTGCATATCACCTTGCTAAGATCATTCCTTTCGGGGTTGAACAAGTGTGGGAGAATCACGCTGCGAATGAGATTTATCCGTATGCACTTATGGATACTTTGTCCCTAAATTAATATTATTTGTGTTTCGGGGTTTTCTGATGTCCTGCGGGAGAGTTACAATTCCGAGACTGAAACCGGACGCCTGTACCTGCAAAATAACGGAGACTCCTGTGAGCTCCGCCTCCAACGGTCAAGTTAGTACCTGATTAAGGAGTAATTAATGCGGAAATTAAAGTAATAAGGTCTCTCTAGGTGAGAATGTTTAATGTAGGTAATCTGCTTTGTTAGCGAGATCAGCCGGTTATTAGTGTGTTCCGTAATGTTTTTCGCGTGTTGTTTTTGTCCCCCCCCCCCTTAATGAGGATTAAGGGAGGTATTTATAACCTTGGGAAACGTGCCCATCCTAGGTTTAGGTAAACCTAGGGCCGATTGGGCTTCCCTCGGAAGTTGGGCCTGGGTGGCCGGTTTCTCCATTAGGCATGGAGTATGCCACATGTCGTGACATAACAGGTCCAAGGTGGACGAATAAGCGCGTGCCACGTGGCAAGCCCTGACAGTTCCAACTAGGGGACACTTGGCAGGTCCTGATTGGCCCACGTGGCGCATTCCGATTGGTAGGAGAAAAATCCCCTAATCATTTGCCCCTCACAGGTGGCACGTGATTGGTCACGTGTTACCTGTGACAGGTGTCGCACTGTAACGGGCGACGGCCTGCTACAGGTGTCAGTCGGCGAATGGACGAGAGATTTTCCCGCCCAAATTTTGAATTCTGGAAGTGACCCTTCGCCTTCTCACTTCGCCTATATAAGGGAGAGTTGCCTTGAGTCATTTTCACACTTTGAGAACTATTTGAGAACATTCGGACCCCTGAACTTGCTCTGACATTTTGGACTTTTTCTGCCTACCGCCTGTTCTGACAAGCCGACTGCACCGGATTTCCAGAACTTCATCAACCGTCACTCGTTCAGGTAACTCAGTTCTCTTACTCTTAATTTTCTTTTTATTTTCTGAAATGGCACCACGGAAGCACACGACACGACCTAGGTTAGTGATCAGCCGGTCACCGGGGACGGCTGAATCTAGGACTAGGAGTGCCGCCTGCCCTTTTCCGGACCCATCTTTGCCCTTTATACAAAGTCCGACTGTATCTGTGTCTATGCAGAGCAGGATGGCCAGAACAAAAAAGACAGCTAGGATCTCAATTTCAGACGGCTCCTCCCACAGGGTGCCGATTAGTGAAACATCTGACCAGGCGCCAGATGTTGAAGTGAGACAAGGCGGCCTGGATGCCGTCAATTCTGTGGGGGGAGTCATAGTGACCCCTTCCAATTTAACAGTTAACAAATCTGCTCCTTTTCAAAGAGAGGAGGCGGGCCCCTCCGGGAGAGGGGAGGAGTCGTCCTCTTCAGACTCGTCCGAGGACGATTCCTCCTCAAGCTCTTCTGGCCATGCTTCTTTGGGTACAGAAGAGAAAAACACCCGCCTGCAAGAGGCGAGACTTTCTCACACAGTTGAGAAGGGGGACAATTGGGCGGAACCATCCGCCTCTTACCGAGAGCTAAATACCCCCTACTACTGCACGGTACCTCGGGGCCGAATCACAGCCATGCAAGAGAAAATGGAGAGCTTTATTGCAAACCACACCATGGGCCCCGACTTTCTAGTGTTTGTGCCGGATCCAGAAGACACAGTCGT